GCCGACCGATTTTCGTTATTTTGGAGGTTTCAGCCACAATAAATTAAATATGATTATCGCTATTTGAGTTATTTTATCACACCCTCAGCCATATGGCTAGATAGCGTATATATCATTTCATATGGTCAAAATGTGCCTTATCGAAATAACGGTTTTAGTCCGTTTCAGGACATTTGGAGTCGACCCTGGGATGTCCGTACGTCCGACTGTCTGCCTGGTGCCCACGATAACTATCGAATGGAGTAGCCGATTTGATCCAAACTTGGTACATCGTAGTATTATTGTCAAACTTAGATCGAGTTCGGAGATGGGCAATACCGGTAAACTTCTTCTGGTGCATCCAGCATAAAATGTCAATTTCAAAAAAAAAAAAAAAAAAAAAAATAAATAATTTACTGCACAGAAAGAGGAAGGATTACCCGATTTTGCTCCAACTTTGAAAATCCTAATATTTGCAAATTAGTACCTACCCCACCCACACAGGTTCAAAATGTTGAATATTATAAGTCTTATAAAATGTGATGTTAAAGTCCGAATGAGTTCAAATTACACACATCACAATATTTTTATTAACCCTAGGTCTGGTATGCAGATGGAAAATATCAGTCTACTTCTTCTGGTACCTCCCCCACTTAGGGTCAACATTTTGAATATTCATGAAGGCCATAAAATGCGAAATTAACATCCGATTCCATTCAGACATTTGGTACATCTCAATATTTCCATTAGCACAAAATCTGTTATAAAGATGGTAAAGATCGGACAATTCCTTCTGGTACCTCCACCCACAAACAAATCATATTATTCGAAATAAGCATCCAGTTATCTTCGAATTACATACATTATAATGTTATTAATAACCCAAGGTCTGGTGAGAAGATGGGATATATCGGTCCACTCCTTCTCGTACTTCACACACAAATGGTCAAAATTTTAAGTATCCATGAAGATCATAAAACGGGAAATTAAAATCCGATTCCATTCAGACTTGATTTAGCAAGCAATAGTTCCAAAAACATAAGATCTGTTATAAATATGGTAGGAATCGGACCATTTGTTCTGGTACCTCCTTCACACAGGGTTCAAGAATAAAAAAACGCTTAGAAAAAGCGAAATAAGCATCCAACTTTCTTCAAATTTTACATATCCGAAATGCTGTGAAACCCTTCTGGTACCTAAACCACAAAGGGTAACAATTGATTATGATTTCGAATAAAATTGGATATAAATATTCGATTTTCTTCAAATTTTACACATACAAATACATATATTTTTATATGTTACGGTCCGCTTTATCTGATACCTAATGCATATTTCCACATTTTCCAAAAAATTTCACATATCTTATATAATGTATAGGAAGTAGTCGATATAGCCCAAATATGGCACGTTATTATATTTATATCAGATTTACGTCATATACGAATTGGCCAATATTGAGCAACTGCTTCTTAACTTCCCCCCTAAAGGGGTGTTGTGAATAATCACAACTCGATTCTGCGTTATACACCTGTCGGCAAACCCTACTAATAATATTTTACTTGTTTCTTTTGACTTTTCTCCCCATAAATTTTGAATTTGAATGAAATCATGAAAATTTTAAATTTCGAATTTAATTTTCCTTAACTCTATTAAATAATCGAACAGAGATTTCTGTTCTTTGGCAACTTATAAAGAAATTTCACTGAGGTCATCATGTAGGAGAATTTTCCATAAATTCACATGGATTTAATTTTTTAAAAGTAGTGTGAACTACTGAATCGAACCAACCCAAATTGACAAGTGGTTTGCAGCCCTGTTATGGAAACAAGTAAAATTTCTGAACAACACACGGTATCAAAGTTTTCAAGTCACAATCACATGTGCATAACTTCACAAAATTTAATTTTTTCTTATCACCATGACCTAAATATCTAACTTAACAAACATGAACTTTACTAATCTAATCTATAAAAATGTATTAAAAAAATATCTCTATTTCGACTTGTAAACACTTCAAATGCCAGAGCAACAACTGCCTTAAACATTTATGTAATTCATTGTAAATTTAAATTGTATATTACTTGTATTCCCCTTGATATGAATAAATATTAAAAAAAATATATTTTTTTTTGATTAAATTACAAACAATTTATGACAGTTGAATTGCATTCCTTGTTATTATAAATGTAAATATTCCCACAAAAATACATTTTTCTTATTACAATATTTTCATATTGTAATTGACATCTGACCAACCACCTGTTAAAACCTGTATTTTCCAATGTACTCTGTTATGCCTACAAAATTCAATTTTTATTAAGGTTAAATATTTTTTCAATATTTTTGTGTGGAGCCATAGATTTCATTAAGAAATTATAATGGAAAGATATTACAAAAATTTCGTTTCGAATAACATACGTACATATAAGTAAATATTTTTTTTGGACACACACACACTCAAGATAGACATCAACCACAAATACAGAAATCCGTACTCCATGGCGTATAAGTGTTTGCATGTAAATCATACGCCCAGTGGAATTTGCAGTATTTTCCTAAAACTAAGCCTGGTATTTACTATTGATACCTCAAATTGCCATAGACATATGAAGGGCTCACAGCTATACCGAACTAAGTCATAAAAACATAATTCCAAGATATTTAGAGGTAAAGTAAATGTACTGCAATTAATTTCTGGAAGCAATATTTTAGTCTACCAAAAGAAAATGTAAAAGTCTATATTCAAAATTAACTAATGATATAAAGTTAAAAGAAAAATAATTTAAATATATTACTAAAAAAATATTCAAAAACAAAAAACCTGCTTTGGTTCGTTATTGCTCTGAATAAAATTTGAAGGTTTTACAGCTAAAGCGAACCAAGTCAAAAAAATAAATAAATTGTTCATTTTATGACTAAATATAGTTGATGTTCCGCTTGTAATAAGCAACTGATGTTGATAGCTTTGGAAAAGGCAATGCTTTTTGAATGTCGAAAGTACAGAAATAGTGCTCATCAGATGGCACTTCTGTATTCAGTGAGTCTCGAGCTAGCTGTGCTGCTTTTAAGTGAAGTTCCTTTTGCCAAATTAAATTTGTATTTTCGTCTTCATAGAATTTTATTTTCATGTTAAGTTCATCACATATTCGAAAGTTATCCTTATCCGGTCAGTGCTCCAGTGGTCCATTCCAACAAGTACCTCCCCCACAAAGGGTAAAAATTTTGAATAATTATAACTCTTATAAAATGTGATGAAATTTTCCGATTGTGTTCAAATTACACAGATCAGAATATTTTTATTAACCCACGCTCTGCTGTGAATATGGAATATATCGCTCCACTACCTCTGGTATCATCCCCACAAAGGGTCAACATTTTGAATATCCATGAAGCTCATAAGACGCGATATTATTCGATTTCATTCAGATTGGGTACATTTCAAAATTTCCTTCAACACAAGATCTGTTATAAAGATGGTAGAGATCGCACCATTTCTTCTGGTACCTTCCCACACAGGGTTCAAGATTTTGAAAAACAAAACAGAAAGAAAACGAAATAATCATCCTACTCCCTTTAGATTTCACACATACAAACATTTTCGCTAACACAATATTTGTTGTGAAGATGGAATATATCTGCGAACCCCTTCCGGTACATCACCCACAAGGGGTCACAATTTTCAATGCCTTTATCTGTCATAACTTGCGAAACAAGTCGATGATTCTTTACAACTTGCTATATCTAAATATTTCTCTCAACCAGAAACATGAGATGAATATGGAATAATGTACGATTTTCTTGTCATTGTGCCCATACTAATATTTAATGTGTATTAGGAAAAAGTATATCAAATAAAAAAACAGTAAGTTCGGTCGGGCCGAGCTTTGAATACCCTCTACCATTTGGAAAGGATTTGGATATTAAAGAATACTTTTAAAAATCATAAAAATACCGAATATAGAGAGTTATCGTAATATGGGGGTATATACGAAAATGTGGACCTGCACAGCCAAGTTTTGTCATAGTCCATTACAATATTCAAATAGGAAACTTGAAAAAATCCGGTAAATAATATCGCAAAAACATCATAATACCGAATACGAAATATGAAAAAAATTGGTGAATAATGTCATTAAAGTCATCAAAATACCGATCATTTCCAATACCAAAAGCCCTGTAGACCAAACACACATCTGAGTAAATTTTATTAACCTACTACAAACGCCTCGGAAGCTAAAGTGATTTCCACAGATGGACAGACAGACGGATGGACATCACTAAATCGACATTGAATCATTGCTGATATCTATATATACGCTGATTCAAAGTGAAACACACTGACTTGGTTCATTTTTGCTTTGAATAAAAACGAAAATGACAGTCGTGGACTTAGGTTTTTTAACGTTATCTTTGGAACGAAACACTTTTTGACATTGTGCTTTACAGAGTAAACAGAGTTGCCATATGCGGGGACATTGGCACTAGTTTCGGCATTTTTTATTTTTCATGACTTGGTTCGGTATAGCAGTGAGCCCTCCATATCCAGAATATATTGTAATTTCATAAAAAAACCCAAACATTTTTATTTATTTCTATCCAATCCCTGCCACACTGATTTTACCAAGTTATTTCAACTGGATACCAACAAAAACCTAGGCGAGATTTGATTTTACAAAACAAGACAACAAATGAAAACAATTCTCTCGAAGACAATGGACACTTTAACTTATCCATTGAAGTAAAATGAAAACATGTGGGAGTTGCTTTTTTTGCAAATAAATTAGAAAAGATCCCATAAAAATGTATTCGAAAGAATGAAATTTTATACATTGCCTCGGATGGAGATAAATATTATTGGAAGAGGCCAGGCGGACAGCCACACATATTTTTTTTTTGTTATACAAAAAGCCAAGAGTACGCACACAATGTTAAAAATTTATGAAGTGTGAGAACGAGAAGAAGTACGATTCCTGCCATGAACTTAAGGAAGATCCAAACATAAATTGTCGTTTACTTACCCGGGGACTGTGCAACAGTGGTATCCGATTGGCAAACTGAGCTATTGTCGTTGTGGTTGTTTTCCATACCAGAGTATCCACCAGAGAATGTTCGGTAACACCCGGACAGGGTAGTGTCACATTTTTGCCAGCCTCTGCAATAATTTTTTCATATTCCAAATTTGCCACATCTAGAATGGAAGAAAAAGCAAGAAGACATAAAAAATTAACTTGCATTGCTTGCAAAGAGAAAGAGTTAAAGTTCTTAAGGGATTTACTGGTGTCTGGGGGGGAGAGTTTTTTTTTTATAAAATTTTTCATATTTTTGTATTTTCTTTTTTCCCACAACGAAAAAAAAACTAGGGGACAATGTAAATGTTTGTTTTAAGAAAATTAAAATTATAATACACAATCATCTTTTATTGCTCGAAGCAGAAAATGAAATATGAATTACATAGAAGAAAAGAAGGGTTTTTAATTATAACATTGCAGGACATTGCTGGTATATATATTTTTTAAACTTAAACGAATTTTTACTGGGAAGTTTTAAAGTTGAAAAATTATGACGTGTTTTTAATTTTCTTGGAATGAAAAAAAAAACAATATTTTTTCCCGAAAATGTTTGTATACAAAAAATAAAATGTTAGTGGACCATGGCTATTCGATGGTAGGCAGGAATAAAGAGAGTGATAAAGAGAATAATCGATATCTCCCATCTTCAAGCTAAATCTGGTATATATACAAAAAATGGAATAGTCCCTTTTAAAATTATAATTGAGACTTATAAAAGTCATGATTGTTCTGATATTGTTTATTTTCAAAAAAAAAAAAAAAAAATAAAAATAAATAAAAATAAATAAATGAATAAATAAATAATTAAAAAATTTACAAACTTTACGATTTTCCATGGTTTTGTTTCAGATTTGGGAGTTTGTGGGTGATTTACCAGAATTCAGTAGAAATATAACGATGTGCAAAAATTATACTACATTGGATACTACACTCAAGGGATATCGTGTGTACCATAGACTCCAAATGTTCTGAAACCTGCTAAATATTTAAAATTTCAATTATGGGTCTCGAGGTACACCAATTTTTATTCAAATGTTGAATTCTGTACTAAAAGTACTAAAATTTGAATACTTTGTACTGGACAAAGGAAATGAGCTGAAATGCTGAAATGCTGAAATTTGGAATGAAAGTAACTAATGTAATGGGGGATAGTAGATTGTAAGGCTTCAAGACTTGTAAAATGATACTAAATTACCAAAATGGTACAATTTGGTATTATGTGGACGGATAGAGCTGAAATTCGGTATGACAATCAAGGATGGAAAATAATTTTGATATATAGGGTGTTTTTTGAATATTTACTAAATGATTCTAAATTTGGAAAAGTTTGGTTTATGGTGAACAAATGAAGTTCAAATTTTAGAATGTTGTTGGGTAAAAAGAGATAAAATTCTGAAATTTCATATTTAAATTATTTGGATTTGGATATGAAAATTTGTCCTATATTTGTACAAAAAGTACAAAATGATACCAACTTTAGTACAATTTGGAGTTAGGTGACCTGATAGGTCTTGAAATCTAAAATTTGGTATTAGAATCTCTCTTCATTTGTAGCCTGGACATCTGGAGATGGTTTCGGAAATGTGTACTATAATTGTTCGAAAAGTACTGAATGGTACTAAATTCGGTATTGGATGAGGGGATAGGGCTGGAATCTTCAAATTTGATTCTGAGGTCTCTGTTGGTATCTGAAATTGAACTTGTAGTGAACATGTGTACTAAGAAATTGAAATTGAAGAAATTGAACTTGTAGTGAAAATGTGTACTAAGTGTAAGAACTGCACTAAAAGCTATTAAATTTTGCCCCTCATTTGGTACAGTTCGCAGTTGGGTGAACGGATGAAGTAGCATTTTTTCAATTTAGTATTTGGGGACCTGTTGCTGGCAGATTTGTGATAAATATGTGGTTTCGGAAGTGTTTACTATAATTGTACGAAAAATACTAAATGGTACAAAATTTGGAATAATTTTGGGTGAACAGATAATGCTTCAAATTTTAAAATATTTGCTATAGGATCTCTGTTCATGTGTAGCCTTGTATGGAGGTGGTTTCGGAAATGTGTACTATGATTGCAGAAAAGTACTGAAGGGTACAATATTTGATGCTGAGTGAAGGGATAGAGATAAAATTCTGAAATTTGATATTTAGATTACAGAAGGAAACTGAGTTAGAGATTTCGCGGTGGTTTGGAAATGTGCCCTAAATTTGGACGAAAATACTAAATAGTACCTAATTTGGATTTGGGTGAAGGGTCTGGAATTGGGATGTGTAGAGATGGTTTTGGAAATGTGTACTAAAATTGTACGAAAAGTGCTAAATGGATCGGATGTCCTCGGTAAACTTCAAAATAAAAGATTTTTGTTCTTAAAGAAAAATATTTTCCTAGTAGCATTTAATAATTGTTTTGGTTTTTCAAAATTGTGACCCTTTATGGGGAAGGTATCAGAAGGAGTGGACAAACACATTTCATCAAATCTTCATTTCACCAAATCTTGTGCTGATAGAAATATTGAGATGTGCCGAGTTTAAATGGAATCAGTTGTTTATTTCGCTGTTTACGAGCTTTCAGGACAACACGTTGAGTAGGCCGATATTGGTCTTCTCCGAGCTCGATCTAAGTTTGATCAAAGTGTATGCTCCTTTTGAGAGTTGTCGTGCGCACGAACCAGCCAGCCAGACAGACATACGGACGGATGGACACCCCTAGATCGAATCCAATCGTCTTGAAACGGATTTGCTCCATAGGAACTAAAGTCTAAAATCATTATTTCGATGAGGCCATATCAAATGATATATACCCTCTGTAGTCATATGACTGACGTTAGAAAAAGGCTGATTTCTGGGAGTCTTACCAAACCCAAGTGCCATATGAAAATTTTGAAAATTATGGGATCTTGAGTTGACCACATATAGCTCATTTACTCAGTGAAATAACTCGACGGCGTATTTGTAGCAATTCATATTTTTTCCTCGAACATTAGTTTATATTTTCATTATGTTGATACCTGTAGAACTGGAAGAGTTATACATTTTTTAACTTGGATTTTGACATAAACCAAGAAAACTATATTTTGAGATTATAGAGCATTTAAATATTTCAAATCATGCTTGATATTGCACAGAAAACTGGCACTAATATCTTGGAACATGTTTGCAAATAATTATCTGTGTAGTTATTATATTTTTTGGATACAATTCTTTTTTATTCGGAAAGTCAAATTTCCATGGATTTTTTGAGATATGACCCTTTTTGAATAAATGGGTTATGTGTAAATATATATCCCCCATGTTAAAAATAACATAACCTTTGTGTCCTGTACATATATATCTTTGTTTTTCTAATAAAGGTCACATCATTGTTGTATCATGTTTCAAATAAAATAAAGCAGAAATATTGTTATACTTTTTTATTTTTTTATTTTTTTCATTAAAGCAACTCTTCAAAAACAATGAGTGTGTGCTTAAATTCAGGATAATACTGCAGATATAACACTTAAGTGGCCCGAAAGGAGAATGTACCTGGTTGGAATGAAAACATTGTTGGTTTGTGAAATAATAACAACAATAACATGGTTTTCAAGATGGATTAGGTTGGCACAGTGTTTCAAGTTTGTAACGAGAAATCCAATTTTTTTCATACAAAGGAATATTGCAATCAATTTTCTTCTGCTTTTCTTTCTCGAAAACTGCTGTTAATACATCAGTGCGGTTGAAATTAAATGCTTCCTCAAAACATATTTCAACGTCTTGGTGAAGGGAAGCATGGCCAAAGAAACAAGGTTGTTTTCCTTTTATGGATGTACATTACGTCCGTCTTGACACTAAAGAGTGTTTGCAGTGGAAGATCATCACATGCTTGGCAATCAATCATCAAGTGCAGCAGGGCAGGGTGGGTGGCGACGTAGTTGCAGCAGAAGCACTGGCCAAGACTCGATTGCATTTTGGATAGATTTGGACATGATGCGATACCAGATACCATACAAATCCATTCATTATTTCTTTTTTCCAAAATAGACAAATGATTTATAAGTATTGTTGAGGGAGGAATAACAACAACAACAGCAACATCAACAACTTGAAAAATTCCCATATTTTGTTGCTGCACTTTGAACACCGAAACAACAACAGGGGTATAGTTTTTCTGTGTGTGTGTTTTGTTTCTCAAAGAATGTTCTTGAAAAGCAATTACTTACAGAACTTGTTTTTGAGGATTTTTTTTCTTTTGAAAAACAACAACATTTTTTAACTAAGAGTTTGTGTTATCTTTTTGAAAATTTTAAAGATACAAAAAACATGTTTAAAATCTTTTTGATATATTGCTCTTGAGAGCTAGATTTTTTTCCTGGCCTTCCATGACTGTAATGAATTTGTTTTAAGGCTGCAATTTGATTTTATTATTTTTAAAGAGGAACAACAATTATTTTTTTTTTATTTTGTTAATAAATGAAATATTTTCTCTCAAAGTGCCTAAAAGGATTTTTATGTTCGCATACAAATTGTCTTAATTAAATTTTCCTTTTACATTTATTAAGAAATTTGATTTAAGGGCAAAATAAAAAGGGGTTAAATTAAAGTTATCGGATTTTTTTTGATTAAATTTCGGTAACGCGAAAACAAAATACTCATTTCTTTGAATTTTGAACGGGCATAGAATATTATAATTCAAAAAAAATAAAAACTATATTTGAGTTGAAAGGCAATAATAAACTGAGCATAGTTTCACAATGAAAACTAACGACTATTTTTCGAACATTTCAAAACAATCTAGTTTTAGTACTTTTTATTACAAACTAGTTCTCCAAAATGCAAAAATTGATTATAATGCAGTACAACCGAATATCCGAACAATTTAGGTACAAATCGAACAATGCTTGTTCTATTTCTGGTACCAAAAAAATAGGCAATTGTTGATTGTATGGGCGATAATTTAGGTTGCTTAGACACGGAATTTTTTATGAGGTTAGAGTTTAGGATTGCGCTGAAGCCTGGCATTCCTTATGGTTTTGGATTTGTCTTAAAAACTCACTCTTATCAAGATATATGGGGCCGCTACAACGTCTGCGAAAAGTTCAGCATAACATTTTAGATTCCTTACAACAGTTCGCGTTAAGTCTTCTT